CACGTGCGCTCACTAGACAGAAACAGAGAGCTAGAAAGCGAGAAATCACCCCCCAGGGGGGATGGCCACGCCGCAATCCCTTCTCCTCCATTCTCCTCTCAGGATCTTGGGCACGCACGCACACGCGCCCGGCGTGAGTTTTAAGCCACCGGGTCCAGGACTCAAACCGCAGTCGACTACGTGGGAGTCCAGCGACATAGCCATTACGCCAACTGCTGGTCCCATCACCTTGGATTTCAAAGTCCTGTAAAGTGCTATCCCCACTGCTTTTTGGCACATTCCCTATCCTGCAGCTAAATTGTGGCTCTTAAAGACCTTGTATTAAAGCAGTTTCTCCATTTGGATTCCATAATCAAGGCCTCCTCCCTCACTGGATGCCATTTCTTTTATGAGGTAGATATTATGAATGATACTTCGGAGGAGGAAATTGAGGCACACACAGAAGTAATATAAATCACCCAAGTCACACAAGTGGTAAATATTGGAGCCAAAATCAAACACAGGTGATCTGGTTCCAAAACTGGTATGGTGCACTGCCTGAACAAGACAGAGTGCCGTTTCAGACTGCAGAGAGCTGTGGGAAAAGCAGCAGGCATTTAACTAAGAGACCGGGCACAGCAGCGTCGGGAGAGACTAGCCTAGGAAAGGGGTGGCCTTGTCTGTCTTCAAAAATATTTATTATTAGGAACTGCCTTATTTCATAAACCTACAATCAGCAGTAAGGTGCGCCCTACCTTCAGATATAAAAAATGTGAAAAGTGCCCAATGACAACTGTGTGATGTCACTGTAAAATGCACACATTCTACAAATCAACTAATGACAAAAAGTGCACAGTATGTGAATACGTGCTTATGTGCTGTCGGCTACCCTTCCCTATCACATCACACACACACAAAGATCTGCCAACGTGCTAATGTGATCTTGTCGTTTTTAGGTTTGGTTTAATATTCAACCATATGATTCTCCACTAAGGATAAATTTTGACGTCACCAAGCCCAAGCTATGGAAACCTTTCTTTTCAAGAAGTCTTCCATATCCTGGCCTTCCCAGTGTCCAGGTATAATTCCCTTTCTAACGGTTACACATATGGGGCCATACAGTGGTGTGGTGGTAGCACAGTGCCCTGTGAGGCTGACCCACAGGGGAGGTACTTAGTTTCGATGTGGAGACCCCCTAGACGTGCCAGATGTGCACGTGCGTGCCTGTGACAAGGGCTGGCTGACCCTGGGCTTGGGTCATGGTGTGAGGACCCTGTTGGGGATGCCTGTCTCTCGCTTATGGAGAAGAGAATAAACTTAAAATAAAAAATAAATGTGGACAAGGCTAGGCTATGAAATCAATATACTGAGTAGCCAGATAATGTGTGGCCCTTCATTCCATTCCCAGGTATTTAATCTAGCACAGTTTTTGCTTTTCAGTCTTATTCAAACCCAACTCACAATAAATGTATTCAAAGATAAGTGGAAGAACCAGTATAAGAACAGTACATATATGAAAGTTTTGATATAAAACGTCACGTGACATAAAAGTTCTGCAAAATCTATTCTATCTGATTTGTTTAAATGTTGATCTCAGTTCACTAAGTTGACTTCATGACTGCTAGTGAAATATAAAATCAAACTGCTGGATACGAATCACTAGGGGCTTACAAAATTAACTTAGAGGATCCTGACCAGTAGTAGATTTTAAGAAGCCAGCCTGTATAATTTCTTAAACAAACAAACAAAAAAGCAAACCTGAGCATTGTTTACTAAAAATTTTGCTAAATATTTGTACATATATACCAGACTTATAATTAATGTTTGTCTGTGTTTGTATGTGATGAAACCTTTCAAAAAGAACTGAAAAAATGAGACAAAAAGTGACATCTGTAAGACTTTTCATAAGAACACTGAAATGGTGTAAGAACTAGAATGACAGGAGAGATAAATTATGGTAGATGGTAGAATGTTTTATAGTTACTTTAATGAAATCAACATTTAGTTGATTTTTTTGAGATTATATATATATTGTGTGTGTATATATACACACACACATACACAACACATATTATATGTATATATATGTATATATGTGTGTATATATATATATATATATGTTAGGTTGTCTGGAAATTCATGATGTAATTTTCTGTTTTTCAATGCAAAAATACGTCATGACTTTCCTGACATGACCCAGTAGTTTAGGGTACATGTATCTATAGGGAAATCATGAATAAACCATATTTGTCTGTCTTATTGTAACATAAACACCATGAAGACAGAGATTTTTTATCAGTGGCCAAACTGCTATAACCATCACCTAGGAAAGTGCCTCGACAGTAGGTACTTGACATTCGCTGAATGAGTGCTAAAAAAAATTCAGGCCAATTCATGACGTGATTACCTCTGATGAGAAAGAAGGGAAACGAAATTGAGAAGGAAGCACACTTAAGGAAGGGTGGGTCTTCAGTACAGTGGCACTCATTTATGTTTTAGAGCTTGTTATAGGGCATGTGCGCTCATCAGACAGAGAACAAGAAATCACTCCCTAGGGCGAATGGCCATGCTGCAGTCCCTTTTCCTCCCTTCTCCTCTTGGATCTTAAGCATGCACACACACCCAGCTTGAGTTTTAAGCCTCTGGGTCCAGGACTTGAACTGCGGTCGACTACATGGGAGTCTAGTGACATAGCCATTATACCACCTGCTGGTCCCTTATTTCTTACTAACTATTCAAAACTTCATTTGAAGCACCTATTTAAATTAAGTGTAGATTTCTATAATTTCTGAACTGTTTTGTTTTTCTATTTCTTTTTTTATAGCCTGAAGAGCTAATTTACCAGCGCACAGACAAAGCGGCTGCAGCTGAACTACAAGACAGGTAACATGATAATATACATAAATCCATATGTGATCTGTCACTAGCAGAGCCAAGGACCCAATCCTGGATCAATGTGAAATAATGTGGGCAGTTAAACTTGAACTCATGTTTATATATATCACAAATAGACACGATCTCTAAAGCCCATGGCTCAAAGAGACCAGTATCAGCACAGTGTGGAACAGAAGTGAACACCAATGACATGTAGTTCTCTAAAGACTGTACCTCAGAGTAGAGTTTAGCATGATGTTGTATCATGTTGTAATGACTCTTGTTGAGACATAAAATAATCCTCAGCATAAATATGCTTCTTTTACCCAATTAATGGCTTATAGAACTCCACCTAGTTTATGAACCTAACATATGGAAAAGGCCTAACTCCCTAAAAACCCTGCAAAAGTATTTTCCTGGTTTCACAAATGGGGAAACCAAGGTCCACATACAAATGCTGAACAAGATTTCTGGACACTACCAGCTCTTTCTGACTTCAAAGCCAGAGTACCATTTCTGCTATATCAAACTGCATTGATGGCATGGTGGTTAAGGTACTGGACTCCCACATGGCCAACCACGGTTAGAGTCCTGGACCTGGAAGCTTGTTTTCTCACTTTATGTCTCTCTCTTTCTCTCTCCGGTAAGCACACATGTCCTGTGTAGCAAATTTTAAAATAATGGTAAAATAAAATAATCCTTTAAAAAAAAGACAGCATATTAAAGTATACAAGATTCTATTTGATTCCTTTTAAGGCAAAACTAAAAAACACTAATTTACTGCTAATTTTTCCATGAAGCCTTACTTGGAATCTTCCCCTAGAAGAGTTCATCTCCAAACACCTTTTTGTTTCTTCTAATAGCTTCAGCATACTATTGACTAGACTCTGATTATTTTCATTTCCAGTGGTGAAATATTTGCAATTCATCTAATACGTTTTTACTCAGTCCACCTTGAAGCCCCAAATATATGTTCTAAGTGACTTAAAATAAATGGATTTTACAGCTACTGAGTAATGGCCAGCTGGGTCTCTAAATCTGTAAAGTTGACTAGATGGACAAGCGGCTTTAGCATAGCAGGGTTTCGATGGAAACCTCAGCTCCCCTGTCTTAGTCAAGTCACTTATCCTGCCTCAGATTGTTCTATTAATATAAAATCAAGATGGTATCCCTTACCTCATAGGATTATTGTTGGGATTAAATAAAAATCTGTAAAAACTACTTAGCATAGTACTTGGTAAATAGTGGCCAAATAAATGGTAGCTATTTTACTTCATTCTATGTTTAACCTTCATGTTCTATAAATCCAGTATCTATAACCTATCCAAAATCAAGTTACAATGATGTTTAGTTTTATAAAGGCAGTTTTAAGGCAACCTAGAAAAACAATTTGTCATGAATAGAAGTCACTGGAGGAAGAAAATTAATATAGGTATTAAGAGACCTACAAATATTTTAAGCTTTTGACATAACCTCTCATCCTTTATGCTGGGTCTAATCTATGTCTGTATGTTATTAGGTTGTCAGGAAAATCATGACACACTTTTGTATAGGAAAATATATCATGATTTTCCTGACAACCTAATAATAATGAATAAAGTAATAAAACATTTCAAGATTAAAAAATCTTCTGCCCAAAAGTACTGCATTTAGCTATCTTCTAACGTTCTCTCTTCAAATATCTGTCACGGGCCTTCGGATATCCCATACTCTCTTCTGTCTCCCAGCCCAGCCCATACATGGCGTCAAGGACAAGGATCCCTGTATGAATGTTTGAATCCCCAGGGATTAGCCCTTACTAGGTACTAATTATGCCTGGGGAGTGACAACTCCACCAGCAAAAACACAGTCATTAAGTACCTGAGTCCCCACTCCATATAAGCTGTATTTTTTAACAAGAGAAAAATCAAGTCACCAAAAAATGTGTTGTTTGTTTGTTTTTAATGAACAGGATTGAAAAAATACTAAAAGAAAAAATCATGGACTGGAGACCACGCCACCTGACTCGGTGGAATAGATACTGTACCTCTACTCTACGCCACTTCCTGCCTCTGTTAGAAAAAAGTCAAGGAGAGGATGTAGAAGATGACCACAGAGCAGAACTGCAGAAACAGCTAGGAGACTACAGGGTAAGTACAAATGGCTTCTCAGCCCACCCTGGGAACTCACTTATTTCTAATTGAAAATAATGTTTTTTGGGGGGGGGAATCAAAATCCCTATCTTGCTCCAGAGAACATATATGAATCAGCATAAGCTAAAAAAAAAAAGTGACTGAAAGTTTAAATCTCAGTAATTAACCTATCACTAAACAGTGAAATGCATCTATAAAAATACACCATTTTTTGTAAAGATTCTATGAAAGATAATACCTTTATGAAATGAAATGAATACATCTGGCTAAATCATACCAGCTCTGTGTAAGTGAAACTAGATCAAGTTTTTAAAGAATATGGTTTTATACAGATTATTTTTCACAGCTAAAACAAAAAAATCTTGTTGGACAGCAAACCTTCCGTACTCTTGTTGATACTGTTGTATGTTCACGTCCAATGGCTGGGCAATAAAACCCAGAAAGCAGTCCCATAACAGTAAGCCTTCTTGGCTACACAGTGTGAAGGTCAAATTGGATTATTCAGAGTAAAATTTTATCCTTTAATTTACAAGGCCAGGTTCTCCAAAAAGATGTTTTCAGCTCAACAGAAAACTCAACTAACAGGCTTAAGCAGGCCAGCCCCACAGCCTTGTAGTTAAGGGAGTCCCACCCCATCACTAAGCCACTGTTGAGTCCTGGACCCAGCAGCTTAAAGAAACATACTAGCACATATGCGTGCATGCCCAAACTCCTGACAGGATGAAGAAATGGAGAACGGATTACAGTATGACCACGCCTTGTTGGCAAGGGAGGTGCTGTCTCCCTCTGTCTTTGGCAAGTGTATGTATCCTCTGTGAACTGAAAAAGAAAAAAAGGCTTCAGCAATAGAGTATTTATTGGATTCCTGAAGTAAGACTCAGAGGTGCATACTGGCAAAGCTGCATCATGTTTCTGCAAGTCTTCCCATTCTGTCCATGTGATGGTATGTTCAGGCTGGTTTTCCTTGTGGTAGCACACAGTGCAGAAGTTATAGGTCTCACACTTGCACGTATATTGTCCAATGAAGAAGAAAGCATTGGTGTGGCACTGTTACTAGCAAGTTTCCTGATACTCACTTTAAGAAACACTTTGATCACATCCCCATCTGTATAATCAATCATTGTGGTCAAGGGATTAGCTAAACCTAAATTCTGAAATTAAAAGGAATTAGTATCGGGACCAGCAGATGGCATAATGGTTACATTGCTGGATTCCCACATAGTTGACCGCGGTTCTAGTTCTGGACCCAGCAGCTTAAAGCTCACCCGGCACATATGCGTGCATGCCCAAGATCCCAAGAGAATGGAGGAGAAGGTATTGCTGTGTGGTCATACCCCCTAGGTGGTGAATTCTTGCTTTCTCTCTGCCTCTGTCTCTCTCAGGAGCTCATGCGCCCTATAGCAAAACTTTTAAAAAGGAATTAGTATCCATATTAAGGGCTACTATCAGGAAGAAGGAAAGAATCAGTGAAGTGTGACTGGGTAGCTAATAGGCAACTTACTAATGAGCTAGTAACTAAAACAAAGCAGGTATTAAAGCCCCTCTGCATTTTCTGTGTTGCTATTAAGTGAATGAAAAGTAGAATTAAATGACCGAGATCCAAGAGACTTGCTATAATAAGAACTGTTTAACGCTTATAAAAAATATATTAAAATATTCAAATTTCATTAATAACTACATTTTTTTTTCCCTTCAGTTCTCTGGATTTCCCCTTCATATGCCCTATTCCGAAGTGAAGCCTTTAATTGAAGCGGTGTATAGCACTGGTGTGCATAACATTGATGTTCCTAATGTTGAATTTGCTCTAGCTGTATATATCCACCCATATCCCAAAAATGTTTTATCTGTTTGGATCTATGTTGCCTCCCTTATACGTAACAGGTAATTTTTTTCACTTTTTTTTATATCTTGTAAAAACTACAATCAGGATATGATAATATTTTTATACTGATCACATATGAAATGTTACTTTCAAAATAATGAAATAAAATTATTTTCAAACTGCAAAAATAAGTGTTTTAATTTAGGAGTCTGGCCTCTGTCTCTGCCACTTTGACCCTAAATCCGAAATCATGCACCCATAGTAAGGCACACTATGAACTTCATGGCTGTATGCTTTGTAACTTACCTACTTTCTGTTTGGGAAGCCCTTCCTCTTTGCTGTCCTGCAGAATATCAATCATACTTTTATTAGATTGGTGCAAAAGAAATTGCAGTTTCAGATCATTGATTTTAAATCATTATAACTAGGCTCAAACACATCTTTATTAATCAAAATAGGAACCATTACAACCAATATATGTATATATATATGTATTTTAAAGACTTTGCTATAGGGCATGTGTGCTTGCTGGAGAGACAGAGGCAGAAAGTGAGAAATCACCCCTGAGGTAGAATGGCCACACTGCAATCCCTTCTCCTCCATTTTCCTCTCAGGATCTTGGGCACACACACACACACACAGGATGATTTTAAGCCACTGGATCCAGGACTTGAACCACAGTAGACTATGTGGGAGTCCAGCAACGTAATCATGCCATCTGCTGGCCCCACAATCAACAGTTTTTTTAAAACTAAGTTTTATTCCTGTAGCATAAAAAACATGCTTCCTTGGAAAGCCTCTTCTGCATCCTGCTGATTGTGGAAGCATTTTCCCTGCATAAAACTGTCAAGATGCTTGAAGAAGTGATAGTCAGTTGATGAGAGATCAGGTAGGTGAATATGGCAGATCAGGCAAAACTTCACAACACAATTCGTTCAACTATTTTTTTAAGAGAGATTTTTGCCATAGGGCGTGTGCACTCACCAGAGAAAGAGAGTGAGAAATCACTCCCCAGGGGTGACAGCCACACCAAAATCCATTCTCCTCAAGGGATTTTGGGCAGGCATGCACACACACCCAGCATGAATTTTAAGTCACTGGGTTTGGGACTTGAATAGCAGTTGACTGCATGGGAGTCCAGCGATGTAACCATTCTACCATCTGCTGGTCCCTTGCTCAACTTTTGAAGAGTTGGTTGTACAGTGTGCAGTCTGGCATTGTCATGAAGAACTGGGCCCTTCCTGTGGACCAATGCCAGCTGAAGCCATGCAGTTTTCAATGCAGTTCTTCAATTTGCTGTGCGAATTTCTCAAATGTAATAGTTTAAGAAAGTTCTAGTAGATGACGCCCCAACAGTGACTGTGACCTTTTTGTGGTGAAAATTTGGCTTGGGGGAGTGCTTTGGAGCTTTTTTTCAGTCTAACCACCAAGCTGGCTACTACTAGTTGTATAAAATCCAATTTTTGTCACTTGTTACAATCTGACTTAGAAATCGTTCATTGTTGTTGCATAAAGCAAGTGAAGACAACACTGCAAACTGACTATTTTTGGTCAGCTCACAAGGCACCTGCTTATCGATCTTTTTCATCTTTCCAAATGACTTCAAATTATGAGTGACTATAAGATGGCCAACAGTGACTTCTTCAGCAACTTCTCATGTAATTGTATGAGGATCAGCTTCAAAGAATGTTCTCAACTTCTGGTGGCAGCACTTCTACGCTGATCTTCAAGATGCTTGTCTCCTTTACTTCTTCAATCACCATTAGCAGTTCTTGGCAAATGCATTGTTGACGTTGTAAGTTGTCTATGCTGCTTTATGACCCATTTTGAATTTGAGTAAGAAAATTGCTTAAATTTGCTTTTTGTCTAACATCATTTCCATAGTCTAAAATACATATAACAAACATCAAGTAATAAGTCATTAGCAGAAAACCATAATGCGAGATATGTGCATTAAAATGTGTAATATAACTACATTTATTTAAGAATATTTCTCATATCAAACAGTAAATCTCAACCATGCAAAAGCGCAATTACTTGTGCATCAACCTGGATGAGACTTTTAAGACCCAGTAAAACAGCATCTCACAACTTTTCTGGGAAAAGGAGAAAAAACTTCGCAATATCACATTTTAATTTTTAATGCTGAACATTAAATGTTAATGTTTTTCCACAGAAATACTAAGCACACAAATGTATACACATGTGCATATACATCCATTAAAACAATATATTAAATGTGGAAAAAAGGAATATATTTAAATATCCATCAAAAGGAAGTAATTTAAGAGAGAAAAAGTTAATACACTGCTATGGACCAAATGTTTGTGCCCCTAAATTTATAGGTTGAAATCCTAATCCCCAGTATGATGGTATTTGGACATGGGGCCTTTGGGAGGTGATGAGGTGAGGTCTTCATAGTAAGAGTAATGCCCTTCTGAGAAAACATGAATGAGAGCTTGTTCTCTCCTCTTTCTCTCCCCCCCTTTCCTCCTTCCCCCATTTTTCTCCCTGCTCTGTATGGATACAAGGTAGCCATCTGCAAGGGTGAGTGACCTCACCAGGCACTGATCTGCTTTCTGATCTTGCACTTGATCTTGGATTTCCCAGCCTCCAAAACTGGGAGAAAAACATGTTAATTGGTTAAGCCATCATAAAATAGTATACTAAGTATATATTTATTAAGTGTACATGCTGATCTGGAAAGATATATACAAAATAGAAATTGGTAAAGCAGGATTTCTCAATAGCAGAAACTGACATTTCTGGCCCAATAATTATTTGTTGTAGAGGTTTGTCCTGTGCATTGCAAGATGTTAAGCAGCATTCTTAGCCTTTACCTACTTACGATCAATCAAATCCGTCCATAATGCCAAGTTACAACAACCAAAAATATATCAATCAAATTTGTCCATAATGCCAAGTTACAACAACCAAAAATGTCTCTTGAGGTTACCTAATCTCCTCTATGAGACAAGTGGCCTCCAGAAAAGAACTACTGATTTTTCATTTTAAAATATTAAATATCATGGGCCAGCCAGTGGCATGGTTGTTAAGGTAGCTGTCTCTTGAGGTTACCTAATCTCCTCTATGAGACAAGTGGCCTCCAGAAAAGAGCTACTGATCTTTCATTTTAAAATATCAAATATCATGGGTCAGCCAGTGGCATGGTTGTTAAGGTAGCTGGATCCTACATGGACGGCTATACAGATTAAGTCCTGGACTCAGCAGCTTGAAAACATGTCAACTTATATGCCTGTGTGCCCAAAAATCCCAAAAGGAAGAAGAAATGGAGAAGGGATTACCCTGTGACCATTCCTCCCAAGAGCTGTTATTTATTTATTCTCTCTCTCTCTCTCTCTCATGAACATACCCTCTGGCAATTTTTTTTTTTAAATATACAAGAACCAAGTTAAGGATAAACTTTCACATTTGCTTTATTCTTATATACATTTCTCTTTTTAAATTACTTGGTATCAGAGTATCTGAAACACATACTGCATTTGTGTTTGTATACCTTTGGTAACTCTTCTAGAAACCCTTAAAGGGAGAATTCCATGAATGAACCCCAATTTAACAAGACAGGCAGGATGGGATAGTGGTTAATAGCACGACTGTGGAGAAATCCTAGATGTCCCACGTGCTAGCTGGATAATTCATGGGCAAATTATCTGTTACTTACTTTCCCCATATGTAAGATTATGATGATCACGTTACCTGCTTCGAAGCACTGTTTTAAAGATGAAGAGGGTAGCACAAGTAAAGTGTTTAGACCATGGCACTGAGTACCTAGTGTATTTAAAACGTCACAAAGCACTTACACAATTGTTCCATTTCATTCTCAAAAGGAAATCAATCACAAAATCCAAGATAAATTTAAACCAAGTATATATTAACCAATAAAATACTAATGAAAAATGGTAATGGCATATAAAAATTAAATGCAGATTATTCTATCTATACTCTCATGCAATTGTGGGGAGAGAAGGAGGTAGAAATGGTACAAAACCAGTGAAAACTCTTCTACATGACAATGTTGACCTACTGAAGCCAGTTTGGGACAAAATAGCCAAGTCTTCCTTAACGTCTTACACTGAGAACATAAAACAAAGCAAAACAGAAGACTCAATTATCAGGAGCCCGTGAAATATTTAATCATAATTTTTCCATAAGGATTATAAAAAATTTCTCCCAAAAAACATTATTTTCTGATCACATAAGGGATAAATTTTAGTCCTCCCTTTATGACCCAGGACTATAGTTAAGAATGAACAATTTTGGGGCAAGAAGGTGGCATGGTGGTTAAGGTGCTGGACTCTCACATGGCTGGCCTCAGTTCCAGTCCCCCACCCAGTGGCTTGAAAATCACACCAGGTGCACATGCATGCATGTCCAAAATCCCAAGAGGAGAATGGAAGAGAAGGGAAATGCAGGGTGCCATCCCCCTCACTGTCTCTGTCTGTCTGTCTATCTGGCAGGCACACATGCCCTTAGGCAAAAACCTCTTAAAAAAGTGGAAACAAACTGGGTGGTACAAACGGTATGGTGTTGCTGCATGATGCTGGAGCCTCAGAGACAGGACCAGTGGGTCTAGCTAACTGGGAGGCTGGGACGGGAAAGGCCAGCATGGCAAGACCCTGCCAAAAATACCTAACCTCTATCCCCATCTCAAATTTTAAAAAAGAAAAAAAAAGAAGATAGCTCATTAAGGTAAAATGATTTGCTATACAGTTGCTATATGGAAAAAACTTTTAGGGTTCCCTCTTTAATTTTGCAAATGTTAACAGCAATAGAATCAAAATGAGAGAATCCTTAGTGCAAAGTGTAACTTCAAAGTAGGAATAGAAAGCCTTCCTTTAGGAATGATCTTCCTAGGGTCACCCCACAGCCTGGTGGTTAAGACAGCGGGATCTGACATAGTCAACAATGTGGTTCAAGTCCTGGACCTGGTGGTTTGAAAAATATGCCAGGCGTATGTGCACGCACATGTACAAATCCCGAAAGGAGGGGCAGATGGAGGAGAAGGGATTGCAGCATGACCATGTCCCACAGAGCTTTCTCAGTTTTCTTCTCTATTCTCTCTGGCCAGAGCATAAGCCCTCTGGGGAAAACAAACAAACCAACCAACCCTTCCCTTGAAATGTTTAATTCAAATGTTAATTAAATTT